ATTATATAATATATATAATAATATACGTATTATGATATATAACAATATACATTTATTTTCTATATATTTTATATATCCAGTAAAAACTAAATAAATGACTCTTCTATTACCAAAAGACTCGTAACCATCAATTGTTTGAAGAACTGTTACAAACATTTAGCACGAAGTGAAAAGAAGCGCATTTTTACGGGCTACGGGGAGTGCAACAGCTCCCTCTGGCGGCTGCCGCAGGGAGCAGAAACCCGCCCACCGCGCCGGTAAAGTGTTCTCAAAGCTGGTTTGCTTTGAAAAAGCTCGTAATAAAACACGTGTGTTTCGAACGCGGAAAAGGAGCGCCGAGGGAAGGGAACAGAGCGGCGGCCCCTTCACTCCTGGAAGACCCTGAGGCGGGGCCGCCTCGGCGCAATGGCGGCCGCGCTGTTGCCATGGCGACTGCCCGACACCTCGGCCGGGCTGTGCGGGGCCGGGCGGGGCACATTCCCGCCGGGAATCGGGCGCGTGTGTGCAAATCGGAGAACCGACCCGGCTGGAAAAGACCTCCGGGATCATCGGGTCCAGCCTACGACCGAACATCACCGTGCCGGCCGGACCGTGGCATTGAGAGCCGCGTCCGGTCTTCCTTTAAATGCCTTCAGGCACGGGGACCGCACCGCCTCTCCGGGCAGCCCGTTTCCGCCGTCTATTCACCCTTTCTGCGGAGAAATTCTTCCTAATATCCAACCCAAACCTCTCCCGGCGCAGCTCTAGACTATGTCCTCTCAGCTTCATCTCAGCGATGCCCCGCTGCTTCAGACTGTGGTTACCTGGGAGCAGAGTCTGACGCCCACCTGGCTGCACCCTCCTGGCAGGGAGTTGGAGAGTGATGAGATCCCACCTGAGCCTCCTCTTCTCCAGGCTGAGCCCCCCCAGCCCCCTCAGCCGTTCCTCATCACAGCCGTGCTCCAGACCCTTCCCCAGCTTCGTTGCCCTTCTCTGGACTGGAAACGTTTGTATATCAAATATATGTGTTTATATACGAGAGCAGGTGTGTTTAAGTTGGAGCGAAGACAACCCTGGTGTCAAAAACTGTCAGGCAAGACCCATTTCACACTTCAAAAGAAACCCCCGCAGCTCCCTGACCCACCCCAAATGGACCCATGAACACCCCCCCGGACACACAGCATCACATAGAAATCAAGTTATCCCATTCTCTCCTCACTGCCTGGAATACATTACTTACCTCTGGATTCAATAGGCTGAATCAGAACCCACCACATCAACAGAAAATTACTGGGTTTTGCTAGGTTAGTTATTTTGACAGTTTAAAGAGTGGGGCCACGTGACTGAAGAAATCAGTGACAGGAATATAAGCTAGAAGTTAAGATGAAGCCCTTGATTTAAATTAATTTTTTAAAACCGATTTAAATGTATTCAAACTGAATTTACTACAGTAAGATTACTCAGTTTCTGTCATCTAATCACACAATTCCTCTGTAAAACTGCTGAAGATTCTTACAAGGCTGCTCCATTTAAATTGTAAAGTTAAATGAACAATTTTTTTCACTGATGCTTTTACATGTCGGATATTTTCATGATAAATTCTAGGATACTGCAGAAGTATCAATTACCAAGAGATCATGAATTTAAGTGTTAGCCTCTCTTGCATGTACAGCTTATGAACTTCAAATTCATGAGCAAAGCCTTCTTTATAGATCACAGTCTTCTTGTTCCTCTCCCTCTCTCACGTCAAAAAAAAAAAAAGAAAAAAGAAAATAAAGGAAAAAAAAGAAAAAAAAAAAGAAAAAAGAAGAGAAAAGCACTATGCTGTTTAATTTTTGAAGAAATATTTTCCTAGAAAATCCTCCACAGTACTTAAGTACTTTCCAGTACTTAGAAGCAAAAACATTTTTACTCTGACTTAAACATATTTATAAAGGCCTTTTGGGATAAAATGCTGACTTGCTCAATATATTCAGTGAACAAAATTTACCTTACTGAAAACTTCACATATAGAAACACTTTTTATAAATAACTGTCTAGGACACCACTTCAGGTAAGAACTTGCACATGCAACACTGTTAACTGCTTCTGTGCAAGTTAGAAAAAAACAATTCACAACTTTTTTGGGCTGAAACACACCGCAAATATTTGACAGAGTACCTGCTGAATTTCATGCATGGAGAAGGCTTTTAATCTTTGTGTTTACTTTTGCCAGGTCCTTTAAAGTTAGGTCTCCTGGAAAGAGAAACTGAGGATGTGCTTCAGTGATTGCACCAAGAATGAGCAGAAAATCCAGAAGTTCTTCTCACAAACATCACCCCAGAAGAATGACAGATGCTCTGATCAGAGAGAAAACAATGAAGAGGATGTTTGCCCCATTTGTCAGGAGGAGTTATTAAAGAAAATGCTTACTGCAGGATAAGTACATAATTTATTCTCTGTCTTGCTATATTCCTAAGTATAGAATAAATATTACAAGAGCTTCAATACACAAGGAAAAATACCTGACAGTCGTTACAGCCCTTTTGCAATCTGGAAAATTTGGCAATCCTAGAAGTTAAAACGTGGGTGGAGGGAAAGGAGGAAAAGAAAAGGGAAGGCTACTTAGGGTTGCTATGTGGTTTTTCTTGTTTGCTTCTGGAGAGATTACAGAAATTGGAATACGTTTTTCTGTAGATACAGCTGTGATAACGCTCACCTGAAATGTAAAAAAATTTGGGCTGACCACGAAGATGAACTGGAGAATGACTCTGCAGTGAAGTGTCCACTTGAGAGAGAAAAATTTGCAGCTCTATGTCTCCTTCTAATAGAATTTAGAAACTAAACTTGTATTTTTAAACCAGGATTTGGACAGTGCTATGTCTTTGAGTATATCTTACAGCTCATTGCATATTTCTCCGCCTTATTGTGAGTACCTGATCTCACCCAGAGAGCAGACAACACGTGCTTTGTAAGCAAACAAACATCCATGGTAAATAAAGCAAAGGGTTTTAAGCTTGCTTTTAGTGCAGTGCATCTCCAAACAGTTCTGTAGTAAATATTCGGACTGGCCTTTGCCAAATAAATAATTCAGGTACTGCTTTATCAGGAAGTGTGAGGTGCTTGTTAACCCAGCTCTTTGTTCGGTTGATGTTTTCGTTTGTCCTTTGAGGTGTCCCACATATGTTGACTGGCACCTGTGACACGAATCTTTCACTGGCTTTTGCCATTCTCCTTTCTTTGTTTTTAGACAGGTAAGAAACATATTTTCTTTTTTGTCTCCTGCTCTGTTCTATATAACAATTTACTTTAATTCCCCTTTTGCAAATCATGTAGATCTCACACTGAATTATATTTACTCAGCTAAAAAATAAGGAGCCACAGAAAGATAAGCAAAAATAGCAAAATAAAATAAGAAAGTTTGATCATCCTCTCCCTGTATATCTTGCACTGTGGCACTCTTATAGAGACAGCAGGTGCACATATACCCTACCTTAACCTACCTTGCTCATATCTTCGTGTACATAAGCCCTTGCAGTTGACAATGTGGTGCAAAAAAAAGGGGCCACAGTAACCAACATTAACTGGGAATATTTTGGAGGTTCTTTGGACTCTGCTTGTGAAGGACATGGGCATAACCCATCAGCTACAGGTATAGTTATGTTTTAGAAGTTAATTTTGCTGCTGTGTTGTCTCTAGATTTCCAGACATAGCAGTATTTCAAGTGTGAGGGCTGGAAACAATCTCATTTTTTCTGAGTCAAGTCCCAGGTGAAGACTTCAAGTAGCCATTCTTTGCTCCAGGCTTTGCATAAGTCTGAATAAGAGATTTCACTTAAGGTGGTTAATTGTATTTGCCACACCAGAAAGAGTTAGGAAACACATCCACTGAAGTGTTCTCAGCTGCTCTTTTAATAATTTATAGGAGTGTTCATTGTTTCCATCTTGAGTTCAATTTACCTCAATTATTTGGCATGTTACAGAAGAAAAATAAGAAACAGAAGGCTCTTCCACAACTTTCAGAATCATCAGCCCAAACAAGAATATTTAAAAGCTTTAACTCAGAAAATAATTCTGGAGATACTGTATCTTCAGGAGAAACAAGATGCTTGCCTTTTCCCACACTGTCCATTATGACAAACATGAAATATTCTTTTAACAGTTTCTTTACTTCAACAGAAAGGGCAATAAAAAGAGTCTGAATAAGAGCAGACAGTAATCAAAAATACTAATAAAGCAACAATTCACCTGAACGTAGTTAAAATTAAATGTATCTGTGAACTAATTCTCCTCATGTAGTTTAGGAACTCTTATTTTAAAGTACCTAATGGGTTTGCAATGGTTAAAAAAACCATGCAAGTGCCCCCCTGAGGCAGGGAAACCTTTGCAATGTGCTTGTCTGCAGTCTTGCAGGGTTTCTGAATGATGGTGAAAACACCCAAATGTGGCTTTTGTGAAGCGTAGAAAAGAAAAAAGCTTGAGAAAAATCAGTGTTAGATGCAATTAAGAATAGGATATTACACGCTGAAGTTTAGCTTAAGCTCTTCTATATCACAATACTGTCGTGTTCTTCACCCTGGATTTAAGGGCTTTGATCTTATTTGTAGCTGGAATTGATGCCTCTGACTGTGCAGACAAACAGAAATAATCTTTTACTTGTTCTAAGAGTCTCTAAGTGACAGAAAGTCTCTAAATGAATGGAGAAGATAGAGATTAGACATAAGAACAAAACCTGAAGTAATATTCTTCTCTGTGTACCCCTTTCCAATTGCAACAAAATCAATTTACATGAGGAATGATCAGGAGTCAAGAATCAGATTTAATGGTGGATACAGAAGTCTTTCTTCACAAGAAATGGAACAGACAGTGTGACTCCTTAGAAGTGGTAACCTTAAGGATAACACTCTTTTGTCATCGCAATTATGGTGATGAGAGGAATACACATTTTTTAATTGATATTTAGAAAGAAAAAAATGTTGAGAGATGTATGTTCCTAAACAACATATCACTTCAAAGATACTCAAATCAAAGTTATGGCACAGAGAACTTTTCAAAATTTTTATTATATTGCATAAGGTAAGAACATTTTACAAATCTTAGTTACATTTTCAGCAACAGATACACTGATACTGAATTAAATACAGAGATGAAAAGACATCTCTGACAAAATATAAAAAGGTAGAAATACTTAAAACCAGGATGCCGAATATCAAGAATGCTTTACATGAACAATATCCATACCAGGGGTTTTTTTGAAAATGAAGTGTTTGTTGAATGTAAGGCTCCAAAATGCAAGGTGGGCAGCACAGTCAGCGCCATCAGTTCCCCTGCCTTGCACCATCCAGAGCCAGGCTTTGTATGAACTCCATGCTCTAAGGAGCACTAAAAACTGCCTTTCTACACAATAACATGGAAAAATAGTACTGTTCTAACAAGGGCTGAAGTGCAACAAGTGCTTCAAAGGAACTAAATCAGTCAGCTGAGGAATAAAGTACCGGGACATTTCGGGGAGAAGGAATATAGGAATGTTCAGGAAGTCTTAAACCGACTGAAAAAAAACTCATTTGGTAAAACAGTTTTCAAGCTTAGAGTGCTAACGAGAAAAATAATGACACAGTTTTCCCCTGCCAGTCTTAAAAAAAAAAAATCTGAAGGTTTTTTGTTTTGTTTTGCTGCTTTTAAAAGAAAATGAAGCTCAGATTCAAATCATTAACCCCCCTTCATATAAGTTCTTTAACACAAATGTAGCTGCCTACTGTTAGAACTGTGGCACAAATTAGTGCCAACTACTAGAAAAGAATGCTCATTTTAACTCTGTAGGCATAGTACTGTGTTTTGTATAATTCTACTGTATTAAAAAAAATACTTAAAACCCAGAAGCTTAAGTTATATAAACAATGCAGGTTAGGCCCCAAATCGAGATAAAAATTGGTTCTAGAAAATAAGACTTAAATACCCATCTCCATAAACTCTCTGCTGCTACTGGCAAGGAAGGTTAGCAGCTGAAAAAAAGGATTTTTATATTAGTTTTTATATATAAACATATATTAATTTCACTTTTGAAGTTAAAATCCCAGTCAGTTTGATACCTGTAAGTCCAGTGCCTTCAAAACACTCACTCTTGACGTATGAAGTCAAATCAAATCCCGTCTGTGCATTTTTTAAAAGATACTACTGTTCTGATTGCTAAAGATATATATATTTTTAATTTCTTTTCAAACAGAAGATACAAAAACTAGGGCTTACAACAATTACCATCATCATCAACATGCAGGAGTCAGTATTCCAACATAAAAAACCCACTAGATCTGCCTTTTAAAATATTATAAAAGCTACATAATTGTATGAATTGTATGAATCGAGGCTTTTTTGGCTAACAGAAAAAAAAAAGCATAATGTGCTTTTCAGATAGTCAAGTGTCCCACTGATAAAATAAGTCTGATGAAAGAGAAAGGCACTTCAGCAGGCTAATTAATCTTCAGATTTTATTTAATATGCAGTACTGGATGTAGTGTACTGCCTTTTCATCTGCACAGTGTTAGAGCAGCAGTGTTGGGAACCTGTGCCACTTTTGAACTAACCAAAAGAGTTTAGACTGGTGCCCCTTCATTTCATCCTCTTTGGTACAAATTACTGCATAAAACAAAGCAGACAACTAAACACTCCTCCATCCTGAACTATTTTTGGTGTGCCACCTCTAGCTCTGTGCTGGTTAATAATGTCCCTCAGCATCACATCATTTTTGCTGGCAGGTTGGTAACATACCAGACTTTTCTATTTTCAGTACTATAAGGATTTTTCCTGTTAATCAAATGGAATCTTTAAGTGATTCCCCCACCTTTTTTTTTTTTTTAATTCTCTAATATCTAGCATTTGGTAACAATCTGAAAAATACTGTCAGTCAGCTTATTCTAAGTCCCATATCCAGATTACTGTGCATACAGCTGCACACTATTCAGCCTGATTTAACTTACATCAAAGTACTGGCCTAAGCCACATGAGTTAATTAACAAAAACAAGTCTTGGCTATAACTCCACTAATCACCTTAGTAAAAACAGCTAAGATCTGGAAGCCATATATCCTTCTGCAAGAACCCCCTCAACATCATGCATCATAACCACGGTGGGGAGACTTTCCTGAAGTTTATTAACTGCTTTTCACCTTAAATATATGACCGAATTTGGTCCTCAGTGTTCTGTGTTTACCTGACACCTTGCACTTAAAACTGTATTTTACCTGAATATGGCTCTCCTTGTGCAAGAGCTGACAGCTCCAGAAGCGCCTTGGGAAGAACTGAGACGTAATTCTTGCAAACATTTGTGTCCTTCAAAAAATAATTTCAGTGATTCCTATAAATTTGTATGTTGAAATCATATACAGATATACAGAAAAGCATTAGTTTGACCACGAATACAAATTTCATTGTGATATTCTGTCTTTTCCACATTACACATACTGTCTGGTTATCCGTGGAATTAAAAATTTTAGAGCCCAGTGTAGTCAAACTCCTTTTTTTAATGATCTAAAACCAAAAAGAATTCTAGTTGCAGGTTCTTCCAGTGCATAAATTCCAACATGCAGCTGGAACGTGAAGACTCAAATAATACATTCTGTAAATTCTGAATATAAATCATAATTGTAAGAATTTTAGAGTTGGATTTCCAATCTTTTTTCTTTGATGACCAGATATCCTGGTGCAGAACAAGAACAATGGAGTGCCAAACTTCCTTCCTTTGAACTCGCAACTAAAGCCATTTACAGTAGTCCATATTTTTTAATGATACAAGGGAGTTTGAGAAATTTGGTCTTTTTCGTATATACAATGAAAAAATGCATTAAAAAAATCTGAAATTTCAAGTAAAGACATATGAATTTAATATTAACTCCTCAAAACTATTAGCTTGTCAAGGATTTTCTGTTATGTTCAACAGAATATATAACAGCCTCTTTTTGAAAAGGGAGCCACCAGAACCAATGCGAACAGGGCAATATTGAACCTCAAAAGTCACAGCAGCTTTCAGAAGAAATATGCATATATAAATTGATTCCTACTAATGTGTATTACAAAGCAAGGGATGAAAATATCAATATCTGGGGCTAGAGACTCATACACAAAATCCAATGAAACTGCATATAAAAAAAATAAAAGCATTGTGAAAATGCATTTGGCATAGGACAATTGAATTCCAGTTACCTAAAAAGAGAACCAAAAGCATGGTAATATGACAAGCCATCTTCACCTCTGAAGTAGATGAATTGTATAATTAAATCAGATTCTTTAGGCCAATTTATTTACACACTGTTTGCACACCTAACTCAAACTTATTTCACATTTTCATACTTGGAACTCAACAGGAACATTTCTTTCATGGAGCAACTATACACCAGAAACTGGATTGATGCACTGCTAGTACCATCCTAGTTACCTTCCATATTCTTCTAGAAACAAAGGCAGACCACTTGACAATCCCAACATAACAGACATATTCCACATTAACATTTCCTGAGTAAATATTCCCAGAAGCCCAGCTGCATAGGATACTCCCTAACTCTTGAGTGTACTACAGGGCAAACAACCAAGCACGTCACCCCAGAATTCACATAAAGGCATTGTATTTTCGGGTCTTGGTACAGAACTTTAACCAAGCTATAAGGGAAATATTCATAAAGCTTTCTTTAGGATGATTTATAATCAAACTGCCAAAGCCAAAATGCTGGAACTTATTTCATCAGGGAAACAGCTTCAAAGCCACAGAAATACATTCCGTATACTACATGAAGCACATTAAAAGATACATCTACTTTTCTGTTAGCCAAAGTTGAAATGATCACTTTGACAAGATGAACATTAAAAATAAAGAATATTCTGATGGCCTTTCCTTCCTCTATACATATCTTAGTTACAATTCATGCATTCATGACTTTTGGTAAATTTAACTCTGAGTCATAAATAGTATTTATATTGCATTATAGACCAAATTTTGCCATCTGCTCTCATGCTCATAACCCTCCCCCCCCAACTTTTAAAGCCTGTTTAACTCCTCTGCAAACCTAGACAAAAGCAGCTCAGGCTGGCAAAATGTAGGCACATAAACCTCCAGTGATCTTCCATGGTTCTGAACATAAAATAAAAAGCAATGCTGCCAAACTTTCCTGACAAAGAAACTATTTCAAAGGCATGGTTTGTCTAAACTTGCACACTTTTCCATCATGGACCAACCTCTCTCTTATAAATAAGCAGGGATTCAAGATTGTGGGGCACAGCTGGCCCAACAGCATGCAGATTTGAACTGGCAAAGAAGCCCAAACAAGACACTGGAATCAGCAGCAGCTGCAGCTCCAAATGCTACCAGAACCAGTCCTTTCCTGCTGGACGTGGACACCTCCCAGCAGGTTTCAGTCTTCGACCTCCACGGTTCATAACAAAGCAGATGGGCAACATCTCGGACAGCGGGGCCTGTGAACTGCAGCGGCCACAGAGCTTGTGCACTGCCCCCTTCTGCCACTGCTGGGTGGAATTTGCACATGGATGGGCACACAGGGAGGGCAGGAATGCCACAGAGCTCCGCTGGGAAATCCAGCAGAGCTCCTCTGCTGGTGTCGCGGGACCGACTGATGGAAGGTTTTACGTCATACAAAGAAGTAGTAACAGATCCCTAGAAAAGTTCACATATAAAATACTGTACAGATGGGTCACGTGGATTAGGAACAAGGCTGAGGAATGGCTTTAACTAGGCTACCAATGCATTAGCAACAAGTACAAAAAAATTAAAGCATGTGCCTACATTTCTCGCTGTGCATTCCCAGGGGTGTATCCAAGAATGACAGGCTGATTAAAACATGGGCCTTCTCCACACTGCCAGTAAAATTAGGAAATGCAAAATTTTAGTGGTAGCATTTCCTTGTTTTCAATTCACGTTGAATATCAAATCGCCCACTTGAAGTTTAGTAACTCAATCTGTACATTACAAAAATGAAACTTTTCTTGATACTAGAAAACAACATTTTCCTTGTAAACCCAACACTGCAGAATTACAGAAGCAGCCAAGAGGTCAACAACTAGCAGGGAGAGCAACACCACAAAGCACATTGTGTTTTAATTTATAGGAATAAGCGGCCTCTCCTCTCTTTTCTTCCAGATATTGGTTTTGCTATCTCTTTTTGTGAGAGGTGGTCTATCCCTTTTTTTAGCAGAAAGGATACCAGATTCATGACTTCCTGACACAGATTTTTTTCTTAGACCTTCCTCATCATGCTGTTCCAAGATTGGCCCATTCCCTCCTTCCATAATGTGCCTCACAGCCTGGTCCTCTGGAGTGCAAACAGTGGTCCCGCTTTCACTGCTACTCAGATCCAGATCTTCCAAGTAAAGGATCTTGGAATGTGGCATACTTTTAATGAAAGTTTTCTCTCTCTCCAGTTTCCTGCTAGGATGATGCTCATTCATGTCCACACCAGAGTCCAGACTGGTATCATTACTCTCTGTTTTTCTGCCTTTTTTCAGATCTATGAAAGAATGCCTCACTTGAGCTATTGGCTTTCCGTCCAAGGACACAAACCACGCTCGAGGGTGAGGAGATGGTTTTCCTTTGGAGAGTTCCAGCAACGTTTGTTCTGAAATGCCTTGGAGTTCAGATGAAAACGGAGTCATTACAACAGCTTCATTCAATGTCCCGGGAACAGAGACAGACTCCAGCAAGCTGTTGGTATAGCGGCTCCAGTTGGAGGTTTGGGAAGGCAGGCCCTCCTCCCCGTCCAGAGCACTGCTCTCATCCCTGCAGGCAGCAGGCTGGGGGTGGGAGTGCCCTGGCATTTTCGGCAGGGTCTGCATGTAACTGTCCCGGTCCATGGGCTCCATCATGGGGCCATACACCAGTTGCCCTTTCCTTGGCAAAGTGGCTGATTTAGCAGGATGCAGTTGTTCCGGGGAGTGGAAAAGGTCAGAGGGCTGAAGAATAGCAATAGGTTGATTGTAAAGATGCATGAGATGTTCAGGGATATGGGAAAGCCCATACATCTCCTCTTTCACTGAAAGGTACCTGTTTGGGTCTGGAATGTCCCTGGGAGCCTGGGAAATAGTACTGTTACTGAGCTTCGGCTGCTGTAAATGCCTCACTCCAGCACTAGGCTCCAGTGAATGGGCTGAACTTCTGGACTGGCCAGTCTGACAGGGTGACTGGTAAGAAGCATCCTCGGTGTAGATTTTAAAGTTGTCCCGTGATTTTCCATCTTCTGTGTCTATGGACATCCTCCTTGGAGGGCTGTACGAGGAAATCTTCGGTGTGTACAGCTGTGAGTTATCCTCCAACTTTAAAGAGCCTTTGACAGCGTTGATGTGATTTATGTGAGTTGTTGATGTTGTCTGGTCTCTTTTGATGACCTCCAGCTTAGTCGTATTTTTTTCCTTCTTTTGTGTCCGATGACATTTATCCCTATGCAAAAGAGATGCAAAGTGACCACAGAGCACACTAGGAAATACGAGACTGTTGACTAACAAAGCTGAAGATTGGATTTTGGTTAAGTTATGGTGTAACGTGACATCACAAACTTAAAATAAAGTTCTGTAATAATAGGAATTTTTGAAGAAATATTAGGCTACACATTATTGCCAAGGAAACAAGTCTCAACTTCAAAAGACTATTTTATCAACCTTAAATTTCCTTCTTGACGAGCTTACTAGAGCTTCTCTTTTTGCTTACCTGCAGTAACAAAGAAGAACAGCAAAAAATCCAATGATGATGACAACAGTACCTCCCAGTATGGCCGTAAGGAACACTGTGTGATAGGCTGTTATGTCCTTGGAAACTGCACTAATAATGGATTCTAGATCGTCAAACAAAACCAAACGAGAATTAGATCTCAAAAACAAGTAATTCCACTTGATGGGCAGAGTGATTTTGAGTTCCATTGCTGCTATGCTCATCCTTCCCTTTTCACCTTGCTATTTCAGCAAACTAGAAAATATACAGTGGTTACAATATAATGCATCTTCAAAAGTTCATCTCAAGTAGTAAAGCCTTACCATGACATCTACTTGATTCCAGTCAGATGACATTTGTATTATTTGTCCAAACTGACTTAGAAAAATGGTCTTTTTTAATGATGTCTAATGATGTCTTATGTTTAAAATTAGACATACTATTTCTCTGATAGATCTCTTCATGCTAATTTGCAACACATGCCACAAGTCTACATAAAATGGGCCTGTTTTACCCAAGACTCATGTTCTTGTTGTATCTCCTCCTGTCCTACATGACCCTCAGCAGCAAGGGATGCTCATTTTTAGATTTCCCTGGTCACAGCTCCCTTGCTGGCAGTTGTCTCAGTACCTCTGGTTCCAGGCAGTGGAGCTGCTATCCAGTAGCCCAGGTGCTGAGCAGTGTATGTCCACACCAACTGACCATCTGCTTCCTTCACCATTCCCAGCCCGCGGTTCACCCAAGCGCCTGCAACAACAAGGACAAAATAATGCACGTGCCAGGCAGAATTCTCTTATCCCTCAAACCATCAGCCATTAAGCTATTACCAAAAATACACAAGAAAAATAGAAACTTCTGACCCAGACACTATTTATTCCACACCTTTATCTAAACATGCAAACGTTCTCCGCTCATTTTTGTTGCAAATATCCCTCTGTGGCCGTTTACTCTGAAACAAAGCATCAACATTACTTACCAAAGGTAAGCTTAATATAATTCTTTTTCTGTTAATAAACGTTTTTCATAGATATGCACACAGATGATTTGAGAAATGAGCTTAATATGAGCTTAAGCATGTATGAAGGTCAAGACTAAAAAGTGAAGGAGCAGGTAGCTGAAGTATATGAACACTGGCTAGCAGAATTTAGTGGGAAACCACTTTAATCTGATAAACTACAATGTTTGTCTTGAATGTTTCTCTCCTCCTCCCTGCCCCAAGGCAATAACAGTTCAGTTATCCCAAGGAAGGGCTATTGTTAGGACACAGATTCCACACCATCTGTTTGGACACTCAAAGGACAGGTATTATGGTATGCCAGCTTCTACAATTAATAAAGCATCCCTTAGAAGACACAGAATTATATTTAACTCACTTGAACACATTTACTGTGGGCCATCTGTGAAATTCTAATGACACGAAACAATCTCATATAAACGACCTTATATTTCTAACAAATACAAATACAGAGAGGGAGAGAGAACCACCAGCTTTTTTAAAAGAACAATAACCACAGCATCAAAACTATAAGCTGGAGCTTATATGAATTTCAATTCCATTTTCTTCCAGGACCCTTCTTTTCAGCAAAGCAGAAAAGTAAATATCTCCCAACCAGGATGTAAAGATGAGAGCTGACACCTGCCACAGATGCACACACACACAGGGACACACAGAGAAAATATCACCTGGCAGTAAAACATGCAGCCTTCTCCTGCTGCTGGTGATGGCTGGTAGAGGGGAAGAGCAGCAGCACTTCCAAAGCCCTGGAAGTGCTGGTTTCTCAGCTACCTGACAAACCTCCTGTCCAGAGTTGGGAGAAAGACAAGCTGGAAAAGTCTTCCATCCCTAACTCTCTTACAGAGAGATAGATCCTCAAATTCTCTGTCCTGCCTACTCTAGGGCAAGTGGACACTACCCTGCAGAACTATTGTTTTGCAAATACAGACAGTGGGCTACTTACAGGCAGATAAAAACCAGCATAAAACACCACATACAGAAGGCAAAAAAATTTTCTAGGTCTCCAGAAGTTCTATCTTGATTGAACAAACCTATAAGTAGTTATACAATCTTTGCTGTCCTCTTCAGTAAATTACATCTCCCCTCAATATACTGTGTAGAAAATACTAGGAAAACAAAGGAAAACATTGAAATGTGACTTATGAGTAAGCTCATTTTCTCTTGATTTACTGCCATTCAAACAGGAGGATATAATTCTCAATTTAATGTTGCAATACAAGCTTTCTGGTTTTGTGTCATTTTATTAAAACCCACAAAGTACTTTTAGCACTAATGCAGCAAAATATTTAGAGAGAAGGAAGCCACATTCAGTATCCACCAATAAATTCTGCATTCACAGCAGCTGGAATATAATTACCATTTTCCAGGAACAGTCTCAGCACTACTACACTTGGAGTAACCCCAGGGAACACTGCTTCTGTCTTCTTCCTGGTGCATATGGATCAGCCCACACCACACACAGACACATTCCCTTCCCCCTACCAATACTGACACAAGAGCTCTGATTGCCATCACCACACATCACCCAAAGACTTCAGGGTTTAAAAGTGTGTCAGTGTCCTGCTGGGGACGTCCCACATGCCACAGCTTGGATGCCAGAGCCTCATTATTCCGTGCAGCAGGAGCTCTGCCTTCAGCTCAGATGGGGGCCTACTGCTACTTATGGATGCTCTGGAATGCTTGCTGGAAAGCTGAGCTGTTCAGAGTCTCCAGAACCTTCATTTGTCATTTTGCACGTGTCAAATCAAAAGGTAAAACTTAAATAAACGTATTTAGGTATAAAAAATTCCAGAACGGTGAATACAATTGCAAATTTTCACTGTAGAGAGGAGGAAATGGAAGAAAATGTGGAAGTTAAGAGTTATGTCCCAGCAGTTTCTCTCCCTTTTTTCACAGTCCTCCTTGTGCTCTGCTCAGCAAGCAGCAGTGAAGGCTCCATGTGAACACTACCCCTCGGTGAGCATCGATTAGAAATGGTTTACCTTTATGGAACCTCTGTCAGAGGAGGAAAAAGCCAACTAGTTTTATTTTTATGGCTCAGCATCCCTGCTCTTGCCCTACCCCAGGGCCAACATACCTAAGTAGGGATGCTGAGTGGGCCCCTCAACACCACATACACACTTTGCACTAGTTTATACTCTAACCCAACCCTGTGCCGAGTTGGCCCAGTTGGTCCAGTTCTGTCAACTTTTTATTTTGATAACATTGTTGACTTAGCTTTGTTTAGTAAGTTAAAACAACTCTGCATAGGTACAGATGGGCACAGGAGCTGGCAAAAGTGGCTGTGGCAGTAAGAAATTATAACCCCTTGTGCTATTTTATCACATCAGACTAAAACCCTTTCTTTGATGAAAAATGCCATCTCGTACCATCAGTTGCCCCTCTGAAGCCTCCCAAGTGTTCAGACAGAGTTAATCTTCTATGCCAAAACTTATCCTACTTACTCTTTCCCCACAAGACAGCCTAGACAATTTTTTATTAGCATGCTCTTAATTCAAATTCAGCCAAAGAACTAAAGGTTAGTTGTTCCTCATTAGGATGATCCATTTCTTTCTTGAACATGTAAACAACACTTGGTTGCATTTGGTGTCCTCTCCTGTCCTTCCAACAGCTGAACAAAAACTTTTTGCCCTAATAAGGAGCAGACACACCTCTTCACTCACTTGCATTTTTCAAGGCCAAGTGTGATGGCAAGTTTAAGGTGCAATGTAATCAGGACACTAATGCACACACACCTAACACAGGACACCCAAAAGGGTTAAGTGTACACAGCTCATTATTCACTCTTGATTAAAATTAGACCTGAAGGGATGACAAAAGGTTTAGAATGACTAATCCCCAGCCTCCTCTTTGCATGCACACTGCAAGAACTATGTTGTTCCCTTTGATAACTCCTATTTCCCCTTCATTTCACTTTCTCAATTGCTTTTGTTAACTGAAGGAACATCTATTCCAGTTCTAACGTCAAAGGAGCTTCAGAGCTACGCTCTAGAAAACAAAGCATCCAAACCTTCAATTCTGACTTGTTTGCTTTTAAGAAGGCATTCACAAAATTACCAGGCTTAAAATTTAATGTCACCTAAAATGTATGTTCCGTGAATACTTAGACTCCCATGCAAATAAAAATCCAGTGTACTAAACATTTGGGCAACGGGAATGCTAGTGAATTTTACCAAAGTTTTTTTAACTAATGAAAGCAGGGAAATACTTCTGAACAATTCAAGCTAGTCCATTTAAAAAACCCCCAAAAACTGAACCCCTAATAAAACTTGTTGACCACCACTTCATATCTTATTGCTATCGCTGTTCCCTGACCCACAGTGTCATGTGCCCAAAAACAAAGGCATGTGCTAAAAGGCAGAATAACAACTCGGCTCACTTACCAGTTTTCATATCAAATGTCCATGCATGTACAGCATCTCCTGGTTTTACAGTAGTTGTGGGGAGAGGAAGTGTAATCTGAATGGGACCGTTTACTTTCAGTTCTTTCCCAGTCAAAAGAACATTGACACATATGGCAGCAAGAGGAGTTAATTCCATGCTTTTAAAACCTGAAAGTGAGAAAAAGCTTGTCTGTAATTCTCCAATTACAGCTTATTTTAAAAATAATATTTAGGATTAAGAATCTATCCTCGTTGTAACTAAACTCAAGTCCTCCTCCACATCCAGCTATGCAGTCAGCTGTCACCAACTCAGTCAATTAAACAACAACTTTTCCTTCCTTTTGGACTTTTAAAATCTTATGATTAAAATAAAACCCAGTCATTACCAACCTAATGCTGTAAGAGAAACAGACTTGTGACATGGAGGTTCAATACTGACTGTAGAACTAATGATGAAGAAAAACACGGTTTGGGAGTGGGCAGAAGAAGGGTTTTTCCCCTCAGATAATCAGATTACAAACTAGCTACCCTATGTGAAACATAGATAAGACAAGAATTTTTGTACAGTTGCAATGTACATAACATTGAATCAAACTGAAGACTTTCCTGTAAGGATTAACTTTCCAGAGTGGCAGTTATAATTAACTGAATCATGAGGCTTGTCAAAGCACTCAAAAGGAAATGTTTCATATACAAAGCTTCACAATGCAGTCCGAAAGCTTGTTTTCCTTTCACCAGTTTGCAAATACTTCAGAATGCACAATATGACAAGATGGTGAAAGAAGCTGAAAGAGAATTAGTAAGTAGCAGAATAATGTTAAATCCAGGCAAGCTGTTGGAAGCTGGTTGTGAGAGAACTCCTGGCACATCAGATATCAATTAGCTTCCACCTGCCCTAAAAGGAAGCCTATTCTTTTAGGAGCATATGAATAATTTAAAACACATGCCAGACAGATTGAAAGGGAAACTCAAAGAGGAGAAACACTGCTTATTCTCTTGTGCTTCTTTCCTTCTGCTTTCCATTTGAAGAGGTAAAATATAGATGAGAGATTTTAAAATATGCACGTCAAAATATCGGTATATATGATGAATTTAATTCAGTTAATATTAAAGGAGAGAGCATGCCAGATTCAAACAAGCCATGTAGTGGCCTTCTCATGCACTGCAATGAATTTAAGAGCCTCATCGCTTCAGATCTGCTGGGAATAGAAAGAAAAGAACAAAAGAAAGATGGAACTGCACACAGTACAACCTAACAGAGATTACTGTGTTTAGGCAAATTGGAAAACTATCTGACAGAATGACAAATACTAAAAAATCTGCTGGTATAACAGCAGAGTGTTATGACTCATGAAACCACTTACTGCTTCTCCAGTGATAAAATAAAAGAGTGATATTGCTTACTCACCTGATGTATTTATAGCTTACTCCTAAGGAACAAAGCTTTGTGATACAATACAATGGAAGCAGGTTCAGGACCTTTTAAATTAAGCAGATGTTTTTCTGAAACACTGATATGCATTGCAATTCGAAGATTTCTTCTTTCAACAAAATTCTTAAACGACATATTTGCATACCTGATTTATTTAGAAGAATTCCTGTTGTATAGAGAAAGCTGTCCACTTTCAAAAATTGCTCTGGCACTGTCAGATAGGCTGTAACATTTGTAATATGGTGATTTGTTGGAAGCTTTATTAAAAATTTTGGAAATTGAACACTTGGCTGAGATTTGGCATCTGTAAAAGAGTAACATTTTATCTTAGCCACTGTAAAACACACCAACAGTGTTTTTATTACCCTTCAGAAATCCACTTAGCATAACAACCTGTTTTCACCCATTTTCTCCATGATTTGTGCATTTCTAGTCTAGCACTTGTCACAGCCTCACATAGAAATCCATAATTAACTGAAAATCTGGCTCACAGTAGACAGGTATTATATGAGAATATGAACATGCCTAATTTTTGTCAATGTGTGTACAGATGGTTATCACAAAGTGTTTAATTAGAGTCTTCATACACTAAACTTACCAGACAGTTTTCCAGTAATTAAGACAGTATCTTCAAACAGCCATATATTAGCTTGATTTTGTGGGAATAATGAAAGTGTCACGGACGAGTATACTGTGGAAAATGATAATATCTGTTACAGTGTGCAACCAAAAAAAAACAATCCTCTAAGACCTCTGATTCTGAAGGAATATTGAACAGAGCAATTAAAAAAAAACAGAGAGCATATGAAGACTGAATAAATAAATTACTCCTGTTGTCCAGAGCAGGAATTTTAGTGTTTAGGCAGGAAGAATTCTGTTGAATGTTTGCTGTCTTATGCCTTCTATGGAGGCTATAATTCTTAAAAGTCTATTTCTTTAAAAAAAAAGAATCATGTGCCTTTTTTTAAGAGTATGCAATAGTTAAAAGGAAAACTTGTGAGGAAACACTTCCGAAAGAGAGCTGTAACAACAGGTTATACCTGTTATACAGGACACAAAGCAATGAGTAATTCCTGGATTGCCAAATCAACAGGATTTTTGTCTAAACACACTACCAGCTCTTTGCTAAGTCTAGGCATAGAATTTCTCAGAATTCACTCTGTATCACAACATAACATACTCAGAGCTAAAAAAGGGCTATTTTCTATCTTCCATTAATAAGAATTTTGACAAGGCTAACAGATCCTTCACCCTTAGATGTGCACTGACATGCACTGCCTCCCTTGACTGACTTCACTCCCCGTTGAGCTGACAGCAACTAGCCAGACAGCTTAGTGGAGAAATTTAATTACAGGCAGATCGAGTTTAATAATAGGACTGTAAGACGCTTACGCACTTGGCATCCTCGCAGTCTTCCAAGGCAGAGGTGTCAGCATGTAGCCATCCTTGTAGGAGACAATGGTCAGGCTTAATCCCAGTTTGTAGGGCACTTTTATTAACACTGCTCCATTGTTCCCAGTGAGAGTAGAGTTTGTCTTCGTGTAGTTCACAAACACTTCCACCACCGCTTGTCGCAGGTACTGGTGACTGATGATGTCATTTACTTGGACTTTTAGGGTAAAAACAGATCCTGTGAACAAAAAGAGAAGACAGGAGGTCATAGTACGTCATAACTAAGGATCTGATTTAAATTTGTAAAGAAGTCCCAAAGTTCTTGTCTTTGCTATTCATCTCTGGCCAAAATCAGGGATAAGCTTGCAATTATAGACCACGGGGAAGAAGGAACCAAAAAGCCTGAATGTGGGGCACAAAAGTGTCAAAAAGTGTTTATCAAACTCAGCAAATATAATACTTAACCAACTAAACAAAAAAAACCCAACCCAAAACCCCAAACCAACCAAAAAAAACTCTTCCCCTTTTTGTTTAAGCTTGAACAATGCACCTGTGACAGTGTGAGATTTAATGGGCTCTGCAATATCACACTGATAACACAGATGGTCTTGTTACCCAACCCTTGGCTCGGGTCACACATTTAAAGAGGCACCTTGAGTTTCTAAAAACAGGAACCCAATGAATACAGGCAGTGGGACAACACTTTTGTATTTACGTGTGTAAAATTATTATACAGTAACAGAATGCATCCAGACTGTTTTAATCTACCTTCTCCCACCAGACTTACACTGGGCTAGTTTTCACCTTCCTGTATTGCACCTTCTAAACAGTATTTGTCTACTGCTAATATTAAGGGATCTGCTATTCCATACAATAGCCAGTGTCCTGCAGAGATCATAATGACAGTGACTGAGCAGTGTGTTGACAGCAATAAATCCACTCGAACAACCGTGTCAAGGTTGTTTCTCTCCCACTTTGATTGTAAATAAACTATTAGGGAGCCTTTTCACAGACAGCAGGTACATGGAAAGGGACAGAATTCCACATTATTTCCAGGTAGGAATTAAGTTGGTATTATTATAAATGAAAATCTCTATGGACCACTGTTAAAAGTATTTGAAAAAAAACATGGATTTTCCAGTATTTTGGTTACAGACATGCCACTATTCAATACCACTGCACTACTTTATACCCTGATATTTTCAAATACATTCATTACGAATACGCATTTCTATTTGGGTCAAATGTCAGGCTAAGTTACTGGAACTTATCTACCTAAAATCATAGTTCCATTTCATTTTGTTACCTCCACTATAATTGAGATTGACACTGCACCAAGAGATTACTACCACTGACCTTGATTTAAATGAATAGGCCTTGAGAAGCCGAGTGCAATCCATCAAAAAACCCCACTACGCGGTGAAGACACCCAAGTTAGGCCCCTCTGAAATAAGTATTTCTTTAGGTCTATTGTATGCATGGGGCACCCCATATATTAATGCAAAAAATGGCCTGCAGACAACAAAAGCTGCACTGGCCTCAATTTACTATTTATCACATACACAGCAAAACCTTACCAGCTGTGCCAGATTGATTCTCTACAGTGTTACATAAAAATCTACATTTCCTTGTGCAAATTAATATATACTTTCAGAAAAAGGAAAAAGATCTCAGTGGTACTCAAATGTATCTGACAGAAAATGCACAATAATCTTAGAACAATGTCATCTGACTTATTTTTCCTTATGCATGATATTTCAAGAATAAAATTGCTTTAAATTGCTGTACTAGAGGGGTTTCCAACCACATAATGATTGGAAGAAAAATTTATGTCATGTCAGCAAATTATGGTTTCTAAACAGCTCTTCCAGGCATCGATCCAATTACACACATACTTGCATCATTCCAGTGGTTTCCAAAACTTGAAAAACAGGTCCTTTGCCCTTGGCCAATGACTAGTTAAAAGGCTACTGAAGAGGCAAAACAGGCTGTGTACAATATTTTTATCCAGTAATCACTTGGAAGCCAGGAGTATCTCATGAAATGGTATTTAAAAAATAAGAAATTCAAGCTCACGCCAGTAGGAACCAATACCAGAAATGCCTGTTATGAACTAGTATTTTAACAGCTGGGATCAAGTCAGGAGAAAAAGAGCCTGATCATAAATCATAAAAAAGTTTTGCCTTAAGACATAGAAAAATTAAAACCTAGTATGTATTCAGAAAGATATTTTCTCTCAAATAATTTCTTACTTTTAATGTATATTTCCCATTTCCCGCTAACAGAAAGCCCAACAGAAGAAAACAGGGATGAGGCCAATCGCCACAGTTCTCTTCCAGCTGTCAGTAAATTCAAAGCTTGTTTTGTGCACAAATATTTCTTCCTCTCATCTCCTTCAGTTACAGCCATATATAAAACCCCACTTTCTTCGAGCCTTTGGGTTGAAAAAAAACAGACTGTAAAACTGCCAAAAGCTGTACTGTTTTCATTAGCGAATGAAACAGTGAATGACAAACATCACTGGCTGCTTTTAGCCACACTCAACTTTGATTACTTCCTTCTCCTGTGGGTATAGGAATTGCCACAGCTTTTCCCAGAAGGAATGCTGTGTCTGGAAGGCTGTTGGGAAGCTGCAGATGTGTGGCTGTAAATGCAGACTGAAATCCCGGGGTGTCACTGAGACACAGCTCTGCAGGGAAGGCTCTGGAGGAGTCCCTGCCCGGGTGTGACTGTCACAGGAAGGCAGCAGCTCCTCGAGTGCAAAACGCTCACTTCACACCCAGTAATATTCAGACACAGATTAAAGGAGACTCAATCCCCGGCTCTTGGTGCTTTCGGCCTTATCTTTTGTGCTAACACAAGAGCCTTCCTGACAAGATGATGGCTGGGAGTTGTGTCCTCCCTGCAAGTAACACAGATGAGCAAATCATTTGGATTTTCTAGTATCAACCAGAATATACTCTGCCAGGAAGTCACTCGAAATTCATGTGCAATAATTTTGGAAAGAGGTTTTTTTTTTAATTGAATCTTTCCATTCCTCAGCAGGAACAGCACAGAAGACACGAGCACACACTATGCCTCCATCCAAATGCTTGGGAAATTATAGGTTAAAAATCCCAGTTAAAAAAAAGTCAGAATCCAGTAATAACAACAACTTCCCACTGGCACAGCCACGCTCACTATTGTTCTGTATAAAATGGAGTGTACCAAAGTATCCCAGAGAGTATCCCATCAGTAGCTGCAGCCTAGGAAAAAACAGAACAACCATGAGGTCCTAAGAGATCAGACTGTGTGTGCAGTGCTGGTCCTACAGCCCTGACCTGTGTCTTTCCAAACCTGATATCCCTTGACCAGCTCTCTCCTCAAACAGACCCCCTCACACACCTTTGTATGCATTCAACATGCAAATTTATCACACATTTAATGGCACTGAGTTATTACCAAGGCCATATTAACACTCGTGACATCTGATTTGCAAAGATCTTAATTTGCAAGTCCTTAAGTCTCAGATATGACAGTGACTGCCATTGGATATTTTAATCACACTAAAATATACCCAAAAAAACATTTCAGTTGCAAAAAAAACCAAACTGCAGGTTATCTGTTTAACAAAACCAAAGCTGAAAACTTCAACAACAGATGAAACTTGTGCTTTTTTTTCCTGGTCACTAACATGTGCCAAACACAAGTGGGTCAGCTGTACTTCAGTATTAAACAGATTTGACAGAACTCCCACAATTAGAAGAAAGAACTCAGTCTTTGCTAATTTGATTTGTGCTGCCTCAGAGGAAGGAGATTCCTCTCCTGGCAGGTCCCCTGAAAATGCCAGCTCCTACAGCATTTACAACCTTTGCTGAGAACATCCACACAACTGCAGCAGTTACAAAGAGAAACAAGGCCTTCTACCACATTTAGCTACTTCAGGAACACCCTGGTCATTGAAATGACACCTCGTTTCTTTGAGCAACACCACGGAATACCTGGAATTTGGCTTCATATCCCAGAATTAAGCCAAAGAACTGCTTGGAACTGTAAGTTGGGTACAAACGTAAAGGCACGAAAAATCTCTATTATACACCGTGTAATTTGTTCTTAATTCTTCCTTGCAGATAAGTGTGTCATCTGGTTACCATTTATGTGAGATTTAATTAGCACAGCCAAGGCCAATACAGGCACCAATACATTTCAAACTACACGTGTCATTAACTGTGAGACACGGCAGTGAACACACACAGGGCAATGCCTGGAACAATTCCTACACATCCTGCAACCCAGTCCTAAATCCCTTTTCCTATTTATCTCCCAGGCCCTATATCCAAAGGGGTTCTACACCTTGAAGGAGGCAGTTCCTCTTCTCAAACACACAATTAAGCAATTATCTTATGGATTGAATAGTAACTACAATTAAATAATTCATTCATTCCTTCCTTCGGAGGAGATTCCTCTCACCCTTGCCTAGAGGTGTTTAAACCCCCGCCAGAAAAAGCAATTCCAGGAATTTCATGGAAACTGCCTACCAGGCTCCCCACTAACCAGGCAGAGAAAATGTGGGCTGTGCAATTTGCTCGGTCTCAGCTTCCTGAGCAATCCTTTTTCCATCTTTTACATTCACAGAACACCACATTTTTTGGCTTAACACAATTAGGGGTGTAAAATGTGCACCGATCCGTAAAGAAGTCATAAGAATATCAGGTTTTACTACAGATGCAGCACTGCAATGGATATCGCCATGGGGGGTGGAAATCAATGAAACATATACACAACACAGTCAACATGCATCTGGCTTTAGTAAAAAAAAAAAAGGCCATGTAAAAGCAATCCATCCTCCTGCCCACAGAAACCAATCATTATTAATTCTCAAATTCTTAAAATTCCCTTAAAACTGCAGCAGCGCCAGTGACAAACTACAAAAGCATATCTAGAAAAATTAAAAGCCTGTTACACCTTTAAAGCTCATTAAAAAATCCACATCTGTGATGTTGTGAAGGTGATTTAATGCTGGCCCAAGCCCTCCCCTCCACAGCACACCCTCAGTCTGCAGTTACCTTTGTTCTTTATTAATGCCCACAGCACTGACACAGGGCGGGTTTTCCTGCCTTGCCTAGTGCATTAACATGCCCTAATAGGTGACCCCTAAACTCCAATAACTATTTTATGGCTGTGCTGTGACAGATATTGTCAGATAGCAGGGTGAGCCCTCTGACCAGTTTTCAATTATGCCTCTCGTAGCTATCAAATAACCTGCAAATCTAATTAATAACCCCACAGCCAAGTGCAGT